TATACAGAATAAAAGGAGCTTAAGCCTGTTCTGTGGGACTGTGATGGGAGACCCAAGGCAGAAAGGTGGCAGATCGTGAGAGGCCTGAGGTGCTGTTCAAGGGCAAGGGTTCCATGCTGATTCTGTGGGCACCATGGCAAAGAAATCACATGCAGCATGCGTTCCAGTTCCCAGCCAGGTGACCCCCCAGCAGATGCTACGTTTACCAAGCATTATGCTTAAGTCGGTCTTTATTTTTTTAATTGTGAAAGTGATGTCAGAAATTGAAAATTGGTGTATTTTTTTTTGTTTAGGACAACAGAATCAGTTAGTGACTTGCATCTGTTTTATCTGACCACATGCCAGGTTCTCTACAAATATTTTTTGAGTGCCTAAATGATTTAAAGGTAAAGTTTTGTACAGGGCTGCTGTTTACACAATTAACATGTATCTGATTTTTGTTTTCTTAAGTTCATGCAGAACTTATAAACAGGTTTGGTCACCTCTGGCGCTGCATTTACCCTGCCAAGGCTGCAGTGAAGGCCACAGTGCTGACAGCCGCTTTCAGCTGGGTCTCCTACCTGTGTTCAGGCCAGAGTCTTGCTAACAGTTCCTGATTCTTCAAGTCAGGCGCCCCGAGTTCCAGCAGACTTATAACTATCATTTGGATATGGCTGTGTTTCAGTACTGGTACTTTTAATGAGATAGAGGCAACCTGGTACCATAAAAAATGCCCAGGTGGGGCTGAGAAGGCAACTCAGTGGTAGAGTGCTTGCCTTGCATGCATGAGGACCTGGGTTCGATTCCTCAGCACCACATAAGCAGAAAAAGCTGGAAGTAGTGCTGTGGCTCAAGTGGTAGAGAGAGCACTAGCCTTGAGCTGAAGAGCTGGGGGACAGCACCCAGGCCCAGAGTTCAGGCCCCACAACCAGCAAAAAATAAAATAAAAATAAGTCCTAGGTTTTGGGAGCCTCCTTGGTGACAATTGTGGATACTAACTATACAGATCAAATAGCATGAAGTGCTTAATTAACATGGCCCTGGCATAAAATATCTGGACTTGTTAAGTGGTAACAATTGGTGTTCTAGTTTTTCTGTGTGTGTGTATGTGTGCATGAGCATACTGTGTGCACATATATGTCATGTTATTACTGCGGCTGGAAGTCAGGGCCTCACATTCTTGCTTAGTTTTTTCATTCAAGGCTGGCATCTCCTACTTGAGCCACACCTCTACTTCTATCTAACTTTTTAGTAGCTAACTGGAGATAAGTCTCTTCTGCCTGTGCTGGTTTCAAATCAAGATCCTCAGATCTCAGCCTGCTAAATAGCTACGATCACAGGCATGAGACACCAGTGCCCAGCAATTCTTTTTTTAATTAAAAAAAAACCTGGAAAGATGGAAAAATTAAAAGAAAAACTTCATATTTCTCACTCAATCACTTGCTGTTTGCAACACTTTTAAGGGCTCATCTACTACTTAAGTCTTTATGTGCTATGATGTTACCGATTTTTAATGAGTAATCTGTTTTGCATGGTTGGGTATTACACAATTTTGCATTCTGATTTTTTCACATAATAAAATAATTTTAATGTTATAATTTCTGTATATAATTGCCACAATTTGCATACACACCTGGAAATAGAGAACGAGTTGACTAAGTGGTAATGCACTCATATAATAAAACATTCAGCAGCTACATTAAAGATGTAGGGGAAGTGAATCTCTTCACATAAAAAAAATATTCATGATTCCATGTGAAATAACAGCTTTACCTACAAACCCCCTGCTGCCCAGATTTGTCTGGGCATCCACCAACTTTTTGGCCTTGGTGGATTTCAAACTTCAGTGGACCTCAGAGTCACCACAGCACTTGCTCAGTGTCTACCTGTGCTGTTTATTTCAGTTACTAGAGACTGGAGCTCAGGAACTGGCATTTTTCACAAGGATCCTAGAAGACTCTGCTGTGGGAATGGCACCCCTCCTGTTTCTACCTCTTGAAGCTTTGCTTACTTTTCCAAGCCTCTGCTTCTTTTTTATTTCCTAACTCCTAGAATTTAGGAAAAAGTACATGGTTAGCACTTACTATTTGCTCTCTTGCCTGGTAAACGTTAATGAATCCTTCTAAAGCACAAACCTTGTGATCCTGCAAGCAAACCCAGTTGGACACCATGTCACAGCCCGAGATTTACTAACTGAGTGAGTTAGTAAACAGTGCTACTGAAGGATCTAGAAGCCACATTCACTGGCTTTATAGAACAGACAAGAGGCAGCAAAAGCACTTCAGAACTCTTGAGCTGAAACTTTGGGGAATAAAGGGAGTCTTTTCAAACCCAATAGAAAAAGAAAACTCTAAGTACTCCTACCTTGGCAATCAGGCTGTTAAAAGTAAGAGGATAACCTTTTGTGCATTCCCTCTGGTTGAGGGTAGACAGCCGGCATTAGCTGAGCAGTGGTTCGGGTGAGCTGGTTATTCCAAAAGAATTGTATGTGTTCCCAGGCCATTGGTTGGTTTTCAGTTCTCAGACTTGGTCCCATTGAAATCATTCAGGTAAGTTCCTCATCTGTAGTTCATTTAGAGGTCATTTGTTCTAAAATTGGGACTGACTTACCCACTAAAGCACTTCGTCACTTAGGTTTGCTTTCTGTCCTCCTTTGAACTAAATATTATTAGATATCCCTATCATGAGAGGTTTTGTTGTTTTTCTCTGTCCTGCAGTAATAGCTGAATATGAGGTAGAGATGATATTGAAATTTCCCCTTGCCTGGGAGGTGCCAAGACCATACTTTGTACAAATCTTGGTTAATCTAGCTTTACAAGCATTAATCATTACAGAAGAGGGTTCCTCAAAAGCAAACTTTTTTTTACTGGGCCTTGAACTTGTGGCCTGGGTACCATTTCTGAGCCTCTCTCTGTGCAAGGCTACTGCTCTACCACTTGAGCCACAGTGCCACTTCCGGCTTTTTCTGAGAAGTTTATTGGAGAGAAGAGTTTCATGGACTTTTCTGCCTGGGCAGGCTTCAAACTGCAATCCTCAGATCTCAGCCTGAGTAGTTAGGGTTATAGGCATGAGCCACAGGTACCCGGCTAGAAGCAAACTTTTAATCATAAGAAGTCCTTTTTGGTCTCACACAATAATGCTAACTTTGTAGAGCTGAAGTTCCAGAAGACCAAAGAGAATTAATACTGTTGGGGAATAGAGCGGTCTGGTTTATGAGCAGGTGGAGCTGGTTGTCTCTACATGGACAACTCAGAGTCACTTTTCAGACCCTGTGAACCCCTACATCTATGAAGTATTTCAGCATCTCTTCCTTGGAAAAAAAGTTAACCATTTCTTTTCCCCTATTCCACAACCTTGAGTAAAATCTACTAAGTATATGTATAATGAATGAAACTTTGAACAGGAGGTACCAATCAGATAAACTACATTTTGTGGATATTTCTACAGAATTCCTATATTAACTGAACTAAAACACCATCCTATCCTGGCAGATTTTTCTAAAATGTTATTCTAAGTAATTACAAATAGCTGGTGGAAAAAGACAAGCCCAATAGCTGTTTCTTCCCAAGTCTTTCATGATAACTGAGTATAGGGCCCTAGATTTAAAAACTGAAATCTGAAATTCTGTGGACACCTGTTCAATATATACCCCTTACTTGCAGTTCCTTTCCTGGGCTCCTACATTCCACATAAAATTTAGTTATCACAGATACTTGCGGTCTGGTGCACATGTTAGATGTCAAACATACTCCAGTCACTGATTTTAGACTGTATTAAAAGTGCCAGACAGTTTTAGAATTGGAAGGGACTACTATTTCAGTTTTACTACTTGGAAACAAAACCCCTTGAAAGACAGGTAGCCTTGGGGGTAGAGGAGCGCTAGAATTGTAGTCCTGTCGACCAAGATTCAACTTTTGGCCCAAGGCTCAAATCATAACTTATTATTGGCATTGTGAAGATTAGTTTCTCACTTGTAAATTTTGACTAATAAGCCATCTCAGGACTGGGAAGGTGGCTTAATGGTAGAGAGCTTGCCTAGCGTGCATGAAGTCCTGGGTTCAATTCCTCAGTACCACATACACAAGAAAAAGCCAGAAGTGGCTCTGTGGCTCAAATGGTAGAGTGCTAGCCTGGAACAAAAGAAGCTCATGGACAGTCTGGCGATACTGACAGTCTCTGGCATGGCTAAGACTTTTTTCTTGGGGCTGGGAAGGTGGCTCAGTGGTAGAGTGCTTGCCTTGCATGCTTGAGGCCCTGGGTTCGATTCTTCAGCACCACATAAGCAAAAAGAAAAAAGCCGGAAGTGGCACTGTGGCTCAGGTGGTAGAGTGCTAGCCTTGAGCTGAAGAGCTGAGGGACAGCACCCAGGCCCAGATTTCAGGCCCCACGACCGGACCCAAAAAAAGAGACTGTTTTCTCCTTGGCATTGTTAGCACGGCTTTGGTTTCTAGTCTACTTGGCAAAACTCATGCCCATTAAAGGTACTGCAAAGGAGCCATGTCACATCAGCGTTTGAATGCAGAATTTCTTACTTAAAAAAACAAAAACAAAAACAGCCCTCCTCCTGAATTACAGTTTCATTGCTGTCGTTATTTTGTCACTTTTGTGTGTGTGTGCTTCAAGTTATGGCATCCTTCCAGTCAACCATCAACTATAATTTAGCTTTGTATAATTGTGTACCTTAGCAAGATGGTTTCTATGAGAGTCTAAGAGCTCAGAGAGGAGTATAAAAACATTCTGGAAAAATAAGGGCAATGTAACCTAATAAGTGGTCACATGTTAGAAGTCACATTGGAGAATAACAAATATTTGTATTATAATGATCTCACTGGCAGTCAGTGAGATCATTTTAAACCTGGAAATGTTAGCCAGATGAAGGAGCTAAAGTCACCATGATCTGTAAAAGTAATCAGATGGGAGAAACAGCCTCGTTGGTCTCCTACTCTCATTCTCCCAATGTTCATTTGTCATTTTAAGAGACAACTTAATTTTCTCTTCTTTTTTCCCCACCCCCCGTAAAGGTAGAAACCTGTGGGTGCTCGTTGTGGGGCGGTATCCAAAGGAACACAGAGTTGGGATTCCAGAATTCAAATATGTGGCGAATATGCATGGAGATGAGGTATGTACATGCTGCGCATTTCTGAAATGTCACCAGAAAAACTTCCCCTCAGGTGGCTGAGCTCTCGGTAGTTACTAGACAGGAAGCAAGGCAAAGTGTCATGTATCATAACAAAACAGGAAAGGCCTGGAGAGTTCTTCCTGTGGGACCCCTGAGGAAACCTCAGAGGCCAGGTCCAACACATCCAGCCATTTGCTCACATGCTCAGTGCCCTCAGAGCAACCAGGGCTGCTTTTATAGAAGGAGCTGGATGAGCCACAGCACTCAGCTCTGAACTCCTGCAAGCTGGGTCCCTTGCCTCACTTCCTGGTTGGCATTAAGACTATGCAGCATATATCAGACAGCAGTGGCTCACGCCCATTACCCTGGCTACTCAGAAGGCTGAGATCTGAGGATCATGGTTCAAAGCAAGCCCAAGTAGTTAAGTCTGTGAGATTCATGTCTACTTCGGCAAAAAGCTGGGAGGGCAGGTATGGCTCAGGTATGTGCCAGGCCTTGAGCAAAAAAAGCTAAGGAATAGCACGCAGGCCTAGAGTTCAAGCCCCAGCACGGGCAGGTGTGTGCGTGCACACACGCACACGCTCACACACACACAAATCAGAGTCAATGCACATTTCAGTATGTACACACTGCCAACATAGCGTAACACCAGGGATAGTATGAGTGGCATGCTCTAGTGTGCTGAGCTTCCTGACCTGGCTTAACCCCGACTTCATAGGAATTGGCTCCACCTTCATGACACACCTCTTGTCCCTGCCAGGCATGCTGACCAACCTGCCCACCAAAGGGAGACTTCTTGCAGCCAAAGCTAAGATGTGCCTACCTGTCTCTAAGGAGTAGATCTCCGAACCTAGTTTGGGAGTGGGTGATACTCAATCCATTTGAGCATAATCCATTTGAGACTGTTTTTCCATGAGACTGTGTTGCTGGAAGTTAGACCAAAGTTGCTTTTAATAAAACAACTGTCTGTTGCACACAGCAGTCCAGACTTCCTTTTCCTTTTGTTATCTAGTCTATTGATCAAGGTCCCATGAAATCCATTTTTAATAAGAGACAGATGGCACTTATTGTCTCCAGTAGCTTGTTTATTGAATTCCCAGCATTTCAGAGGATGCAGTCTGCTGCTCAGAAATTAATCCTCAGAAACTTCCAGAGATAAGCTCTCACAAGATTTGTTTGTTCTTTCCATGCATTTCCCCAAATTTCTGGCATCTTTCTCTCTGGCTAGTTAGTGCTTTCCATCAAATCAAGACCTGCTAGTTCACTGTGATTCTTTGAGAAATGCCAAGCTTTGAGATTAGGCAGGATTGGGGGGGGCGGGAAGAAAAAGAAGAAAGCTTTTAATGTGCTTTGAAGTGGAGACTTGATATACTGTTGACTTCTTCTGTGTCCCAACTGGTGGCAGGGTCTGGGTTTTTTGGAGATATTAAGAAATTTATTTTTTAACATTTTTATTATTATTATCTTTAAGTAGTTGTATAAAGAAGTTCCCATTCTACAAAACAGTTTATGAATACAAAGTGTCTGACAACATTGTCACCCATCTGGAGCTATGAAAAAATTTCTTATTCTGAATGTGAGGCTTATGCATACCCTGCCCTCCTGGCATCACTGGGAGCTAGAGGACAGGACAGCCTGACTGAGGAACGGAGGAACAGACGTCTCAGTGGAGAAGTCTAGCCACCCCTTGTTTACTCATTTATTGGAATTAAAAGAGTTTTTAGCACCTTTCAAAGCCTGTCAAAGCTCCTAGTACTGCTAAAGAATATAAAGTAGCAACTATGCTCTGGTGGCTTATGCCTATAACCCTAGCTACTCAGGAGGCTGAGATCTGAGGATTATGGTTCAGAGTTAGCCCAGGCAGGAAAGTCTGTGAGATTCTTATCTTCAGCTAACCACCAGAAAATCTGAAGTGGTGCTATGGCTCAAGGTGTTGGAGCACTAGCCTTGAGCAAAAGACTTCAGGGACAGCACCCAGGCCCCGAGTTCAAGCCAGTGGCCAACAAATAAACATTACGAATAAAGAATGTAAGTAGCATTTTAGGCCAGTATTTCTTCACTTCTTTGGAAGTCTTCATTGATAATAGCAATACACACACACACACACACACACACACACACACACACACACACACACACACACATACACACACACACACACACACACACACACACACACACACACACACACACACACACACACTGACTTATGACTCCAGGATTTAGCAACCACATGTGGCGAATCTCTACAGGAGGCACATGTGCATGTACACACACACGGTAGACAGAACTGACACTATTTAAAAACATTTTCTCTGAACCACACCTCATTGTGTGTCTGTGTGTAGTATGTGTATGTATCTGTGTGTGTATCTGTGTGTGTGTAGCTGCCACACTTTTTCCCATGGCTCACTGACAGCACCAGGACCCAATTCTTTCCACCATACCAGACATGTTCCCCCCATGGATTTCACTGTATCTCATTGTACCTTGTTTTAGAATTAGGTCTGTTTCCCTACTAAAAATATTCTGTTAATTTTTCTACTATAGATGTAAGAAAAAGTGACTTTACGATTTCTCTGATTGTAACAACCTAGACTAAGTAGAGGAATACAGGAGAAAACGCCAAGATACTATTGGTAATTCAGGAATGGTAAACAATAAAAAAAAAAGCCTGTTTTACTCCAATGAAGAAGTTTGAGTTTATGTGAGAAGTGTTGGACTATAACTCATTCCCCCTTATCTGATTATTACATCATTAAAATCTTGAAACTCATTAGGAGAAAAAATTCTAATTTTTTTTTTTTAAAAAAAAACAAACTATGGTAAAGTGTTTGTCTGGCAAACTTGAGGTCTTAGTTCATTCTCCAATGCTGTAACAACAATAGCAACAATTATTGTTATTACAATACAATTACTGTTTCTACAAAAGCAACACTGATGCACATTAGAAAAAATACAAATGAGGCCAACACAGGCAAAAAGTTAGTAAGACCCTAACCTCAACAAACATGCCAGGTATAGTAGCTCCTGACCGTGATCACAACTACAATGGGAGACACAGAAAGGAGAAATCATACAGGCTGGCCCAGGTGAAAACATAAAACTATATCCAATTTTTTTTTAATTTAAAGCACAAAGAGCTGGAAACATGGCTCAGGTGGCAGACTAGCTGACTAACAAGTGTGAGGTTCTGAATTTTAAACCCAGTACTATGAAAAATAAAAAAGTAATACAAAGAAACATAAAAGAAAACATTATATGTTGGCCTTCCAAAAATTAGTACTGCTGATTCTTATTTATCATTCTAGATATCCATGTCTGTGCATGCACTTTTATCTAATAATAGTATGCTATGTTTCTTTCTTTTTGTTGTTGGGCCAGTGCTGGGGGCTTGAACTCAGAGCTTTGTGCTCTCACTTGGCTTTTTATTTTCTTTTTTGGTTCACAGCTGGCACTCTACTACCTGTTCCACACATCCAGTCCAGTTTTTTGTTGATTAATTGGAGCTAGTCTCTCAAACTTTACTTCCCAGACTGGCTTTGAACTGTGATCCTCAGCTCTCAGCCTCCTGCATAGTGAGGCTTACAAGCATGAGACACTAGCACCTGTTTATGCTGTTTTCCTTTTGGTTAACATTTTAAAATTAGTACTCACTATCCTTTTATATCAGTAAATGTTTGTCTTTATTTTCTATCTCTATATTTTCTAATTGTTTTCAAGGTGTCCTCAAAATCGCTCAAAACAGATTCTCGTCCAGTATTATGAATCATATTTGGTTGATATATCCCTAGAATCTCTTTTATAGTATCATTTGAAGAATCATTTTATGACATTAGGCTTTCAAAAGAGATTGATCAGGAGCAGAAAGGGAAGGAGGAAGGGTGAACAAATGCAATCACAATATTCACTAGACTTATGTGGCAAATGAACTGTGCAACTGTGGGCAGGGACAGGGGGAGGGGAAAACTGAGGGAAAGCAAAGGAAGAGGTGACATTGTCCAAAAGAGGAAAGTACTCATGACCTGACTTATGAAATACTAACCCCTCTGTATAACACCTTAATAATAGCAGTAATATCATTTTTAAGGACATTGATCAGTTGTCCCTCCTACAGAGTCTCTACATTGGATTTTTGGTTTCTTACAGTGTCACTGACTCTATGCCTCTAAATCCCTCCATTTGCTTTTAACTGAAAGTGAGAGCCGAGAATTTGCTGATTCAGTTGGAACACTATTAGTAAATATACATTTAAGGAGTTTTTCAGATGGTCTAATTTGATTGATACTGAAGGTCTGAGATAGTTAACCTTACTACACTCAGAAATGCAAAAGCAAAAAAGAAGAAGAAGAGGAGGAAGAGGAGGAGGAAAAGGAAAATTATGGATTGCAAAAACAGCTGAAAATGGCCATAGACAAGTGTTGTTGCATAAGCAGTAATACCATTTGTAAGCCCACTCCTTACTTTGTACGTGTTTTTCGTTTTCTCTTATTCTTACAAAGAACAGATAGTTGTACTAGGGGCAAATTCCTTGTCCTGATCATGTGCAAAGGTCACAAGCTCTTAGGAAAGGCAACACTGAAGATTTCTGTCACCTCTCTCGGTCTCTCAAATCTTCCTGTGCCCAGCGCCCTCTCCTGGATTTTTGTGGGATCACTTTGGGGAGCTCACAGACACTAACCACGTGAACCTTTGTCCTGAGGACAGCATAGGAGAGTATTTCTGAGGTTCTGCCTTTGTCATTTTAATAAGCCTACCCAAGGTTTTTCTGGTTCTTCCAGACCCTGATTTGCACACACATTGGAATGTTCAAGTGTAGAAGCCCCAATTCTAGGTTTAATTTATGTAGGCTGCTATTGACACACCTGAAATTTAATCATTTTAATTGGAAGGGTTGAGGCAGCTCACACTGAATGGGGTTCTTCCCCTCCCTTACTCCAGATACTCAGATCATTTAGGTTGGGATCTTTTTATTTTTTATTTTGAACAAGTACTGGGGC